AAGGTTCTCCAAGGTCAACAGGCATTTGGGTGACTTACAGACCATTTGATTACATGCCTTCTGATGATGTAAGAAAGTAATTTCCATCTCCTAGTTAGAGGCAACGGAGCTAAAGGCTTAAGATGGCAATCTCCCGTCATGACTTGAAAATGGCTTTAAATAATTTTTACTTAATGAGCTGCTGTGGGACAGTAACTTGGCTTTTTGGACTAGTGGGACAAAGAGTATCTTCTTTGTCTACCATAATGTTTTTATTTTTTTGATTGTGTGAATGATACTTTGTGTAATACACACTATAGAAAAATACTGGATCAAAAATTGTGGTAAGTCATCAATCCCAGAGGCTGTATTTTGCTACTCTTAATCATAGTCCTATCAGTTCTTTTGTAAGATTTAAGTGACTCCAGTATTTAACCATTTTTAATTTGGGTTCTTAAATTAAACAATTGCAACAATTTTCCTGTAAGTAAAGTTAATTTCCTTTCTCCATGGAATGCTTCCAGCCCTACAGCTGATGCTGCCTTATCACTGATTATTGCTTCCCTTTTGCTCCGGCATTATTGCATCCCCACAGTATTACAGCAGGGTAGTGATATAGTTCTCAGGTTTCTTCTTTTGCCTGCAAAGGCATTTTTAAAACATGGCTCACTTCCTTTTTCTTTGCATTCACCAACATTTAGAAAGCTAACTTCTCTCCTTTTGCTTCTCTCCTTTAGGGAGTCTCTGATCCAATTTGTCATTGTGTGCAATCTGTCTGTTTAGAATGCCTTTCTGTTTTTTTTAATCTGGTGTTAGATAAATGTAACTGTGTAACTCACAAGTGTTATGTAAATATACACATACCTATCTACATAAATATCTGTCATTTTTATGTTTTTAAAGTGGAACATTGATTCTATATCTTAGATTCACATAGAACATGCTAGAAATACATTACATAATTCCAAGTTGAAAATACCTTCAGAATTGTTCACATGAAGTGGACACATAGTAAAAGTATATGAGAGTTCTATATTTGGAGAACCTTGCAAGACACTGATGAAGTACTTGCATTAGATTTTAACTCTGAATAATTACAAAAAATTTGAAAACTATGAATAAGCATAGCATATGTGACCTTGACTGAAGTTTGTCCTTATCTGTGAAGTGCAGGACTCAAATCTACAGAGAGATTTGGTCACTCTTTTATTAAATTCTCATTTTATTGCTAGCATCATTCTCCATTCAGATGAGGAGTAGTATCTTGAAATCAATGCATGATTATTACAGCCAGATTGTCTGAAATCAGCCAAGAGTGTGCATACATACCCTTTGAATTGTGCTGTTCAGCTGTCCTTTTCCTTCTATTTATGTCCCTCACTTTCTGGAGTGGAAATATACATAGCCAAGCACAGAGACATTCACAATACCTCTGTATCTTCCAAATTAGAAGTGAAGCTTGCATTAAATGGATTTCATAATTGCAAGCATATAAAATGTACATGGAATCCTGTACTAGTTTCTGTGTCATTTTATTATGTCTGACCTTAATTGTTATTCACAGCATGTGGTTGAGGCCTGTTCGTGTGCTGCAGTGTTTGATATCTGTCATAGTTTGAACCTAGGCAAAGAACTGTAACAATGTTATCCTCATAAATGCAATTTTGAAATGTCAATATTGTTATGAAATAGAAATGTTTTACTGTATCTGTGTCTTTGTGACTAGCGGTGTTTTCTGCCTTTCCTGTTTTTACCTCCTAAATCTCATTATATGACAGCTAAAGTTATCACTTTAAAATATATATGTTAATTTTCTTGGAATAAATTGTCACAGCTAAGGTCACAGGAGGTCTGTAAGGATCTTCTGTGTCCATAAGCATAACCATTCCACTGAGATCTGCAGAGAAATTTTTCTCTGTGTTTCATTTAGGAGTTCTTCTGCTGACAGGTGACAATGTTTTTAAGTATGTGTTCCATAATGACGTCTCAATGTTTTTAAAAAATTCATAAAATAATATTATCTCCTACAAAATGGCAAAATCAGATTTTAATGCCCGTGTTTAGCTCAACATTTTTCTATTCTTACCTTTTAAATTGAATCAGTACTGAATGTATAATTTTTCATGAATTGACTTTCTGCATATAGAATTCTTTTTGAAATCTATGAAAAGCGTACATAAAAATGGAGGAGAGAAGACCATTGCTTTTTTCAGCAGATTTTGAAACTTTGACATGTATTTGATATGTATCTTACAATTGAAATATTAAAATCAATTGTAAATTTATTCTTTTTTTTGTAAACCCACACAGCATTTTACAGATCTGATATTATCATATTTTTTATTTCAGTCACACTGGTTACTATTAATCTTTATTCTGAGTGTTCTAAATATCTAGATTTCTTCATGACTGATGTAACACTTCTAAGATCTGTCTGCATTTGCAGGCTAATCACAAGAATCAAATGCACTATAGCTGTACAGTACTTTGGAAATTTGTCCCTTCATACCAAATAGTGCATTTGCTAAGTGCAAACCTCCATTGTCTTGGTAAGACAGACGTACAGACAGACATAAATTGACCTTCCAGTATCAATTCACAAATCTAGTGTCTGTAGCTTGCAGAGTGACCACAGGTAAAAGAAATGGTATGTGCTCATGGTGCATATTTTGAATTCATGGAATGTTTCTTCACCTTAAGTCAACAGTGTATGACTGTCTTCAATAATATTGCAGAAGAGATAAGAACTGTCTGTAAATGCGGTGAATTTACCTTGGCCAGCTGTGAGACCCGCACCCAGCTATGCTTTTGCTCTCCCTCTTCAACAGCACAAGAAGAGATAATAAGATGAAAAAGTTTGCAAGTTGAAATGAAGATGAGACCCCTTGCCAGTTACTGGCACTGGCAAAAGAGGCAAAACTGAGGGGAAATTAATTAATTTTACTGATATTTAAAAGCAGAATAGGATGGCAAAAAATATGCTGTCCCACCCCCCTTTCCTCAGGTTCAACATCTCAACTCCTGTGTTCAATTCCCAACTCCTGTGTCTTCTCCTCCATGAGTACAGAAGGCATGAGGAAGGACAGTGTGTCCACCACAGTTCCTCTCTGCCACACATTTTTAGTCACACTTTTTTTGTGCAGATGTGTGGATCTCCATGGTCTGCAGCCCTTCAGGATAAATCTGCTCCAGCATGGGACTTATGTGAGCATTAGTTCTTCTAAGAAGAATCTGCTGCAGTGTGAGCTCTCTGCAAGTGAGCGTTTCTTCAACAAATATCCAGCTTGGCCTGGAGTGGTCTTCTCCAAGGGCTTCAGGGAATTGCCTCCTTTATCATGGTATTTTTTAACATGGGTTCCTCTCTGTTCCTGGTGCCTGAAGCACGTACTCCCTCTTCTTCTTTTCTGACCTTAGAATTTCTAGTGTTCTTTCTCACATTTTTACTTTTATCCTCACTGCCTGAGCCATGTTTTGCCCTTTCTTAACTGTGCTTTCACAGAAGCGCCACCTGCTTTACTGGTGAATACTGTGCTCTGCGGTGAGTACATTGAAGAGCAACCCTGACCACTTCTTGCTGACATCAGCCCTGCAGCCATCCCCAGAGCCAAAACCTTATCATCAACACCCAGTGTAACAAGATGGAGAGAAAGAAAATAAGGGATAAAACCCACATCCATAGAGATAGAAATTTATTTTGGTTTATTGTGTTCCTTACTGTGGTTAACTTCTTTATTTCTTTTTGTATCAGATCAACTACACTGAAACTAATTTGTGACTATCACTTTTCTAAGCAATTTCAATAGAGCACTTTTATGAAAGATAAACTGAAGGTATTATGAGGAGGATGTAGAGTGGTTTTTTGATCAATAAAAACACATGCAGTTAAATCAAGCTTGTATTTTTAAAGTTTTGAAAGAAGAAAGGGGGCAAACAGCAGTGCAGATGAATGGGTTTTCAGTGTGTGTATATAGAGTTTAGGATGGCAAAAATACCTTTCTTACATTAGGGAGCACATAATGTACTTTGTCTTCTCACCCATTATTTTTGAATAATCTAATTTTAAAAATTCTACAAAAGTATTTTTTCCCTCTTACCTGTTTACTGAACAGCCTTGTTAGGATTCAAAGTATAGTTGAAGTGATGGGAAGGTCTTCTCTCTAAAATTGTATCTTCTTGGTACATATGGGTTATGTTCCTCTCTAAAAGAAGTCTATTTGCAAGGTCTTGCAAATCTCTACTCTCACCTAGTGACAAGTACTGCTTGATTGGCTATTTATTTCTTAAATCATCAGGCACATAATTTGCTAAACAGTGTGAAATGTTTTAGTACCTTTGTTCCTGAGTGCCAAGTTGAAAGCCTTGATTGTGCAACAGCCATCATGTGCATTTAATTTTTAGCTACTGGACATCCTTGGCCAACTCTGATATTTGCTGGCTATTATTTTTCATATTTTCATCATGAGATATCTTCTTGAGTCTTTGTGCACTTTCTCATGTAGTTTTGTATCTCATATTTATTATTATTGATATTGATTATTATTGGTGCCTTGAAGAAAGCTTGGGTACTGCTACAGAAGCTATAATATCACCTTGGCTGAAGCTTAACAGGAATCTTAAGAAATATTTTTACTTTGTAATTTAGTTATCTATTCAAAAACACGTAAATGCTTCTCAATTTTGTGAATTTAGAGTAAACAACTGATTTTGAATGGAGAAGTGGTCCAGACTTTAAAAAAAAAATTAAAATTTAAAATATATGAGGAATTATGAGTTAATAATGAATGAATGAAAATTCAGTTTCATGTGCACTTTTAAAAATAGTGTATTAGAAATTCTTTTGCTCTTAACCAGAGTTGTATTTCCTTTCATAGTGATGTAATAATGTCATTTTCTAAGATGGCATTTTTAAAATCTTTTTTTAGTGGTCTTTGGCAGGATAGAAAACTGTGATAATTTAAAATGGAATGATAACAGTTTTTTGAACAATGTACTAAAGTTAACCTTATATTTTATAATTTCAGTTGTTCATGGTGGACAATGGAGCAGATGACTGGAGAATAGCCATGACTTACGAGCGTATTTTCTTTATCTGCTTGGAAATACTGGTGTGTGCTATACATCCCATACCTGGGAATTACACATTCACATGGACAGCCCGGCTCGCCTTTTCTTACGCTCCATCCACAACAACAGCTGATGTGGATATTATTTTATCTATACCAATGTTCTTAAGACTTTATCTTATTGCCAGAGTTATGCTTTTGCATAGCAAACTTTTCACTGATGCCTCATCTAGAAGCATTGGAGCATTAAATAAGATAAACTTCAATACCCGTTTTGTTATGAAGACTCTAATGACAATATGTCCAGGAACTGTACTGTTGGTTTTTAGTATCTCATTATGGATAATTGCTGCATGGACTGTCCGAGCTTGTGAAAGGTAAGGTTGATTTTTTTTCAGTTCTTTCTATTTGTCTTTCTGTTTTTTTACTCCTGCTTTGTCTCTTAAATTTTGAATTCAGGAGACTTAAACATTGTTAGAATGCAGTTCCCTAGTCCTTGATAATTTGAGCGTTGGTTGCATTGAATTCTGTGACAGACATTGTCAGGAGTGATTTGCCTCTTAATCTGATGGACTTCTGCAAAGAGATCTGTACCCCACTGTTTACTTGTAGCACTACAATTTCATTTCAGTGTGTTGACATATTTAACACACTGGACAGACACCACAAAATGCCTTTAAGAGTAGTTGTTAATATTCTGCATTCATACCATATTTCATTTATTTTCTTTGTGAGATAAATGTACTGAGGAAAATATAGAAAAAATAGCCAGGGAAAATGCTTGGGGGGATGAGTAATTTGAGTGTTGTGCTGAAAAAAGAAAGAGAGTGCAAAATGCAGTTGAGTTCTTGGCAAGATCAGTAAAGGGGAACAGGCAGAACACTTACAGTAATATAACTCCTTCTTCCAGTGAAAATCAGAAGTGCATTTGAGACTTTCAATTTCAGCTAGTTTTCCAACCTCCCTTTACCACAGACTTCAGTGTAGGTGCAGAATAAATGGCTATCAGTGCTGACAACTTGAAATTGAATTTCTCAAATATTTGAGAAAAAAAAAGGGGGCTTCTGATTGGATAGGATTGCTTAGGAATATGAGATAGGTTAACTCTAAGATGACAATTAGAATGATTCTCTATAAAAGATTTAATGCCTTGGACAGCTCTTAGATCCTGGAATTGATTTCTCCTCCTTAAGCTGAAAAATCATCAACATATTTAAGGCATTTCTGCTTCTTCTGTTTGTTGACCATTTTGTTTTTTCTATTCCTTTCCATGTCTGTCCATTTTAGAATCAGTTTGGGGAAGTTACTTGTGACAGCTAAATTATTCAAGTCAGCAGTAAAATCAAACACTATTGTGCATTTTTAAGTTACTGCTTTCATTCCTTTTCAACTTGTTAAAAGGAAAAATACCCAATCTTAAAAATGACTCTAGGAATCATGGTTTTGTCGTTTTATTGCTATAACTTCTTATCAATATGATTTCCTCATATTACAGCTAGACTAATAGTTTAAGAATATTCTGAAAATATGATATTAAGACACAATGACATATTACAGTTTCAGAATATTCCCCATAGTGGCGGCGAAGGAGTACCCTAGATTTTTACTCAGTCTGTAGTAGCTGTGTTTGCATAAGCGTGTTCTTGTTTCAGATGTAACTGACTTCTGCAAAGTCTCTCCTCTTTATCTCATATTCTCCACTTTTCTTCCCACCAATTTTCTTTCCATGCAATTGCTGCTCAGGAATTCTTGAGTGTCTACTCAGGCATTTCCCAAACTGTTGGTTTGAAGTGACTCTGAATAACTTCAGCATCCATTGCTACCATTACATATAACTGCTTGATGATGATGGTGATGATGATGAAATAATAATTTTTTATTAACTTTTTTATACATGTGCTTTCAAAATAAACTAGTACAACTCAGTGAAAATTACTGAAAAATATTTGCTACTGTCTGACACATGTCTGTAAAACATATTTATTTGTTAGTATACAGACTGCAGGACAAGAATGTATAGTATATAAGTAACACTAAAAATAAAAGAAAGAAAGACCACCTCACTGTTTTTTCAATCAGAGGGAATGATAACAGCACTCTCATAAAGTTTTGAGTTTTTTAGTTTGCTTATTTATATTTAGAAAGTGACACACTTCTGCATCACTGTTATTCTGGGAAGAAGATTATTTATTTGGTTAGGTACACTGAAGTCAGGGCTGCAAAAAGCTGAATTTTCTTCAACTCTCTGCTAAGTTAGTAATGGATTTTCCACATTTCACTTTGCAGTTGCTGTCCTTGAATTGACTGTAATAGTTTGGACAGTAGGCTGAGTATCTACAGACTCCTCTAAAACTGAAACACAACACAACTAAAAGCAAGTTAAATATAAAAGTTAGTACTAGGTTATTATATCTCTAGCATAATTGCCTTCTGTCACTGGATCCCAGTCCAAGATTCATATTTAAAAAAGGAAAAAGTTAATTTTATGTTTCAGAAACATTAAAAAGAATTTATTTTGGCTTTTGGAATTAGATACTTATGTCATTCATGCTAGTTGCACAGCCAGTTTTTTTAGGTTTTGCTTCCAGTTTTCACTTGAGGGAATATGTAAGTATTTTGCCAAACAAATGATACTGACCCTGGATTCAGTTACTAGTCAGCCCATCAAAACCATTTAAATCCTCAGCCCCTATAGAGGTATGTGGTAAGATAAAAGTTCTCAGAAAAAAACCTCAAAACCCCATACAATAGCCATGTATCTTGAGAAAGGACAAATATTGCCGCTGAATAATTTCTGTTCTGTGTAGAAATCACAGTCCTCAGAAGATGTGTCCCAAGGTCCTTATGGCTTTGAATTGCTTAGATGTTAAAAGTGTAGTTTACACAAATGAGGCACATTTTTTCCCAGCTACTCTTGACTTTTTTCTTAGTTTTAACTCGAGGGAACCTTTTTTTTTATTTTAAGTAAAATATTTTTTGTACACAAAAAATAAATTTCTGTACACAGATCCTGAAAATAAATTCTATCATTAAGAGTCTTTTCCATTTGCTACTATATATGAAAACATAACGAATTTTAATACATCTAACAGAAATTAGGAATTAGGCAGCAATCTGGTAGCTTTGGTTTGAAAAGGAGTGATTTATATTAATAAAATTTGATGGTGTTAACTATTTCTTGGCATCACTCTAGCACCATGCTCTAATTTCTCTTATATAGTAGCATTACATGAGTTTGAATTAGCAGTATTTCTTTGGTGTATTAAATCATTTAACTGACCATCCAAATTGGAACTAGATGATGGTAATAAGTCATAATAGATTAAAATATTAAGATTGGGGAATGGAGAGGAAAGATTCTCATTCTGTTCCATGTTCTCAGTGAGGAGGGAAGTCACAGTAGGCGATGGCCTTTATTGTGGAGTTGTGTGTGCTCAGCAAAAGCTGTTGCTGCTGAATGACAGCCTGGTGTTCAGATCGTTCTACTCAAAGTTAAGTTTTTATATTGCAGACAATCCTGGGAATAGGAAGGGAGATTGGAAGCCCCACATTATATAGGAAGGTAACATGAAAGAGCATCATTATCCATCTCTCAAAAGATAACCTGTGGAGACAGGTCACGGGTTGAGCCAGGCAAGTTGGCTGTCTGAATAAAGACTTCACTGCATTAATGGTCATCTGACTGATCACTTGATACACACTGAACTAAGACAGGACATGTGTCTTTCTCAGTGCCTTAATGACTGTATAGTTAGCTCCCAGAATGCTAATTATAGCAAGTGACACTTTGGGTGGGTGAGCAAGGTATTTTCCATGATTGGAGTGTAAGGTCATGTATGAGGGCAGAAAGTGTTACAGATAATGGTGGTGGACAGCCAGCTGAGTATAAATGGGTTGCTAGGGCTGCAGAGTAATCTAGATGAGGGGATTTGGAAGGTAAAGGTGGGGAAAGCATCAAGTGTTGCTGTATATATAATGTCCGTTTTGAGAGAACGATTGCATTGCACAGGTCTCATCTGCCTTCTCATTGCCAGTAGTAGTATATTCCTGTTTTTCATGTCTAGGCTTCATAATGAAAATCTAAATTTTTATTGGGTCTGACTCAAAAGATGTGTGTATTTATAACATCTCTGAGGCACATGATCTACAACACTTATGAGTATATTACTTTCACATTTGAATTATGAGCCCTACAAGCAGATTAGTTTGTGCAGGTCCCCATACATGTGTTGTTACTCAAAATGGATTTGTGCATGAGCATCAGTTGTTTATTTCAGTTAGAAAAGTTTGGTTTATCAAGAAAAAGAAAGTTAGTATGTTTAGCATTAAGTCATGGAAGAATCTGACTAGAAGAAGAATCTGAGTAGAAGAATTCTACTCTTCTGTAGAATGGGTGTTTTGTCTCTTCTTTGAGCAGTGGGCTGCTTTTCTAGGTTGTGTGAAAGGTAGCCACTCTTTATGATCTGGGTTTTTTATGGAAAGGAAGAAAAAATATTGTCTTCCGAATACACACAAGGGTATAACGTGCCTGTTTCTTGTGTACCAAGCAGTATGAACCAGAAATGCCCACATTACACTGTTGTATGTCCAGAGCAGATCATATCACATGCCTGGCATTTCTGTGGATTTGCAGAGGAGAACTGAGAACAGAACTGGATTTTCTTCTGCAGAGAGCACACTTTTGGCACCATTTGTTGTTCTATTTGCTCATCTCTTTGACTTTTGGCAGTGAAGTCAGTTCAGTTTGAGCAGTATTTTTTAGTCAGCATTTCTCCCTTTTGTCAGTTTCTGCTCTGTATTCTCTCCTTGTTTTAACAAAAACAAACTCAAAAAACACACACATATGCAAAATCCCATCTGTGTGTGATGGTGAAATATTTTTCTGCTTTCTGCTCATTCTTGTTTTCTACAAATAAATGTCTGTCTTATTTCTTGGAAATATGATACCATTACAAAGTTTCCAGTAAGCAGCTCACACATGACAACTGGGAGGCAAATGTTAAGGATTCATTTGATACAAGTTAGTGGATACACTGACACTTCAGTTGTAATTCATGAAGGAAAAAATGTTTCTTAGCTATCTAATTTCCACTCAGTATGTATTTCAGTTCTTTACTTGTATTGAGGACCTTATCTGACGTTGTATGTTGCATGCATTTTCACAAGGCCACTTCTAAAGGAAATTGCTTTTTGTATTCTCTGCAGTGCCAGTGTGAAGATTCTTTTTCTTAGTTTAAAAAAAGCAACCAAAAAAACTCAGAAAAACCCCAACAAGCAAATAAAACCCATCAACAACAAACCAAGCCTGGACATTTAATTTTAAGGCTATTATTAGGCTCAGAAGGTCAGAAGCAATGACATATGTTTTCATTTTTTT